GTGGTGGATTCAAGATTATAATAATTCAGGGTAGCAAAATTTTAAGTGGGAAATCAACCGCCAACTGTTTGACAAACCAAGTTATTACCTTTTTATAAGCCACATAGATTAGTTTGTGAAATCTGATTTGGCCTTTTTTTTTTTTTAAACAGTATTTTAATGTTAAGCAAGCCTGGACAGCTACAGCCAGGTGTAAAAGGATTTGGGTTTCCCTTTGTAAGTTTTTTTTTTTTAAGTTTTGTTCATTTTCCCTAGGATTTCTGTCTTTAGAAAGATAGTATGGAAGCCCCAGTGGTTAGTGCGCAGTACTTATACAGAAAGACAGCATCAGTCTCGTCCTTAATAACTCAGAAGTTTTGGCAAAGTGTGACTTTAGGGATTTGAATGGTGATGAATGTTGCTTCTCTGCTTGATTGTTTTTATTTAAGTAGGTTTGGAATGGAGACTCTCCTGCCATGATTCTTCCTTAAAAATCCAGATTATTTTGTAGTACAAGCGTTGCTTTTTGTATATGGACAAGATGCCACTGACTTTAACTGGATGTTTGGTAGCTGACTCATCCTCACTCTTTTGCCCTTAAACACATGCATTTTACGGTGCTAGGTGAGGGGAGAGCAGAAATTTTAGTTACAGGGCAGAGTCTGTCTTTGCAAAACAAGCTGGTGGGTCCCAGACAGAGCCTGAGACCCTGACTCCCGGTGGGCATAATCACAACCATAATAAACGTTAATGTTTATTGGCTATTTAGTACGTGCCAGAGTCCTGAATTTTTCTGTGGAATAACTCATTGAACCCTTGCCACAATTTTTTAAGGTAGGTGCAACTTATCACCTGTATTTTACAGCTGAGGAAACTGAGGCTCGCAGAGGTCAGTGACTTTACCCGATGTCACGGAGCAGGAAGACTCCACTAGAATTTGAAACGAGCCATCTGTCTCTAGGGCCTTTGCCCTTAATTTTTTCCCCCCAAAACGTGATCTAAAAAACATGAATAATATTAGCATGTGATAATGATATAGTTTGTTTTTTTAAATGTCCTATTACCTCTGTTGCTCAGGGGGCATGCTGGTAACTGGAATCATGGAAGCTGTTTACAAAGAGGAGACTTGGACACGGCTAGACTTAAGCCTGCACGCTCCCTTTCCAATGCGGTGGAGCAAGGGTGGTGCCCCAGGGGATCACCACTGTTTCGTCTGTTTCTTTTCTTTCTCTGCAAGATGAATTCGGGTGGGATGTTTTAGGTTTTCTTTTAGAGGCACTTTTCTTTTCCTACACTTTTCCTGCACATGATGCAGTTGATACCCATTTGAAGTTTGATCGAGCCTCTCGCATTGCCTTGCGGGAAGCATGGCTGTGTTTCTGGAAGCTGAGCGCATGGCAGGAAAGACATATTTATCTTAAAATTGAGACGAGAAGCTAGTCCGCCCTTGAACACAGCCTGGTATTTATCACCTGTCCACCTGGAATTCCGACCTCAGGTACATGAGGGAGCCAACTGTAAATTTTCAGAGTAAAGGGAACAAGAAGCCATTTTCCATTAATTTAGATGAAAGCTGAAGAGGTAATGTGCAACCATGTCTCATTTCTGCTGGGTTTTAGTACTAGTTTGTCCCCCCCACCTCCCGAGGCACTGTCCTACTGTGGGAGCTAGAAGAATGGCCAGCAAATTGCCACCTTCAACAATGTGTATTCAGGCCTAAATATGTCATTTCTGCATTAAGTTGAAAATGGAACGCGTTGATAACGTACCGTTCTTTGCTTGTCAGACACATGGCAACTTGTTGGCATGGCCTAGGAGATCCTTTGAAATTGGTCCCCACTCTCCTTTCTAGCTCTAGCACCTGCCACTCCCTCCCCTGCAGCCACACCAGATGGCCCATGCCCCTTTACTCCAGATGGGATAAGAGGCAAGTCTTGGTCATGTAGCAAGATTCCAAGGATGGGTTCTCTACATCCTCTAAGCCTCAACTGTGAGACTTAGAAACAAGACTAGGATGGGTGATGTGGTCCCAGGATGACTGACTTGGTAGCCCAAACCCACGAGAGAGGGAATTCAATGTCATAATTTAAGGTATATTGACTGAAAAAAAAAAGCACAACCCAAAAGCTGAGAATTACGTTTTACTTAGTGGCCTTACTGAGGCTGTATCCCAGGATGGCCGCCTCTCAGATAGCACTGAAGGACTGTTCCAAAGAGGCAAAGGAGGGGCCAGGACATTTCATGCCTCTGCCTGGTTCATCCATGTGCATCCTTCGTCTTGGAATGCCTTCCTTCACCTTGTCTCTCCAGCTACCCTTGCCCTTCAGTAGGAAGTCGTATCCCAGTCAGCAGCTTTCCCTGCCCCAGCCCTCCGACTGAGATGCCCCGGGTGCGGCCACAACACCCTGGGCTTCCCTCGGCGGCTGCACACTCCGCAGGAGGCCTCTTGGTACTTCTGGCTACCTTTCCCGCTAAACTGCATTGTGTCATTCTGGCTGATAGTAGGGGATCAATGTATTTGTTGAATGAATGAATGAATCTCTCTTTCTGACAGAGGAGCCTGTTTGGGAAACAATTCAAGCCAGATGATGACTTAGTGAATATAGAAGGCCTAGTGAGCTGAGCCAGAAATGCCCAGAACCATGTCTGAAGACGCTGCCCGGCCCACAGCCCCTGCTGCCCTGCCGGCTTGTTCTACATTTTCCACACTCTCAATTTCTCAATGCTGTGAGCTCTGCTGGTATCAAAAGGGCCCCTTTTGAGAAGGTGCTAATGTCGTTGGCTTTCAGCTTGGCCACGATTGCAGGAAGAAAGCAGCTCAAGAAGGCTTGAGTCTCATATTGAAGAAGTGATGCTGTTTCTCACTTCGGCCTCATGAGTAGGGCTAGACCAGCTCTGTGGGGTGCTCCCTCTGCTGCTGCTCCCCGCGATGCTCTCTGCCTGATTTCTGAAGGGCTGAAAGGATGCTTCTGTGCTGGTGGCTGCATGGGGCATGGCCAGGAGGAGGAGAATTTCCCCTTGGAGGCAGCTGTGCATGCAAGCAAAGGAGAGGGCCTTCAGCACCTGAGATGAAGGGAACGGAAATGCTTGTTGGCTCAAAACTGTTCCCGTGCTGCTCGCTGCACTGAAATTCCACCATCAAACCCAAGAGCCTCCCCTGAGGGGCTTGGACAACCATGAATCGATTAACCTCTCCTTACATATTAGTACTAATTAGTTGTTCAAGGATAGGTCTGTTTGGACCTTGTAGGAAGGCTCCCAAAAGTTCAAGAAGCACTGGGGAAGTGGGTCTCTCTGGGCAGCGTGAGAATCTGAGCTTGGACCATGGTCATTCTCTCGCCGTGTTGGAGCCTCAGCCAGGCTCCAGCTGTGTCATCTTATCCTCCATTTTGCGTGGAGATTACTTATTACCTTCTGGTTCCTAATCAAGTGTAAATACCTTAAACTGCCATTAAAAGCCTTAGAGGCACTAGTCAGGTATTATCGGGGACCAACAGTGAATCTGAGCTCCCCAAGATCCCGGAGTCCCCTGGGCACATCCCTCATGTGCTTCTTGGGGGACACGGCCATTTCCTTTTCATTTCTCTGTTTCTCAAAGCACTCAACTCAGTATTTGCATTTAGGTGATCAATGTGTGATTACGAATTGAATTGAATGCAACAACGAGGAATGTGTCAGCTGGATGAATCATGACCCTTATGCACCCCCAAGGATATGGGAACTGGGGTAAGTTTCATAGTTAAGCTAGAGTGTCTGTCAACGGTGGGCCCTACACAGCCTGGAATTTTCCAAACAATCTTGGGTTGAAATAATCTATCAGACTCTGCCTGAATAAACTGTACAAATCTTACACTAGAAGTTCCTAATTTGGGACTTGAAAAATAGGACTGCTATATCTGTGGGATATTCAGAATAACAGTAATAATACTGGCACCCAGTAAATCAAACATTTGTTCATGACCAGCACAGAGCTAAGTAACTATTCCTGCACGTGGCATGACAACCAAACGAGGCCAGGAGGTGAGAGACTTTAAGGTAGTTTATTGATGGCTTTGTCATTCGTAATTTTCTCCTAATGACTTTTCAGCCTACATGAGGTCTTACTTGATGGAGGAGGAAGCAGGGGCCAAGTGTGCTGGAGGCCTGGAGCAGAAGTGTCCCATACCTGCCCCACTGGCAGGTTGACCGAGTACTCGTGGTGACTGTCAGCTGTCAGTGTATACAACAATTCCAGGTCATTCTAACCACCAGCTTAACTTCCTCCAAGGAGGCCTGTGGGTTTTCCAAATGAGGGCTAGCCTTCTTTTCAAGCAGCTCCAAAGACCCTGTTTACTTGGAATTATTCAGTACAAGCTTTATGGAAGTATAGCATATTGCTTATGGTTTCTGGTAACTTGCACTATTCTATTGCATGTTAAGTCATAAAGCCAAGACAGAGAACACTTAAAATGAGCTGTCTACACTCTCTTCTCTCATGCTTCCTGAGATCTTCTTCCTTATATCTCTTGAAGTCCAACTTCTGTGCTAACACTCCATCAGGTATTTCCCATGGCCTTCTGCAAAATCTGTCTATTACGATGTGTGGGTAAGAAAATGTATTTTAAATCTATGACATTTTATGCTGGAGGGCTTGGGCAGGTGGACCTTAATCCTTTGTCTTCCTTTTTCTGTGTTACAGTTTCTCTTGCTAGCAGATCAGATCAGGGCTGGAGGGGCTGGGTGAGGGTGAGCATGGGCTGATGAAGGGGGAGTCCTTACCACTCTGGACTGTGGGCACTGCAGAACCAAGGCTAAGGGACAAGAGAGATGGCATCACAGCCTACGTGTCCACTTTTTCACTTCATCTCCGAGGACATCAGAAGGGTTGGATGGTGGGTAATTCTTATTTGAGATCACTAAAACTCCAAAAATGTCTAGGTGATACTGTGATGCTGGTTTTTTCTATTGTGGTGAAATATACATTACATAAAATTTACCATTTTAACATTTTGAGTGTACAGTTCAGTGACATTAAGTACATTCACATTGTTTTGAATCACCACAATCTATCTCCAGAACTTTTTCATTTTCCCAAACTGAAACTCTGTCCCCGTTAAACACTAATTCACCATTTTTCCCTCCCTGCGGCCCCTAGCAACCACCATTCTATGTTCTGTTTCTATGAATTTGACTCTAGGAACCTCATGTAAGTGGAATTGTATTTGTCCTTTTGTGACTGGCTTATTTCACATAGCATAATGTTCTCAAAGTTCATCTATGCTATAGTATGTGACAGGGTTTCCTCCCTTTTTGTGGATGAATAATATTCCATTGTATGGATATACCATATTTTGTTTATGCATTTGTCTATGGACACTTGAGTTGCTATTGTGAATAATGCTGCTACAAACATGGGTTGTGCAAATATCTGGTTGAGTCCTTGCTTTCAATTCTTGTGGGTCTATACCCAGAAGTGGAATTCCTGGATGATACAGTAATTCTGGGTTTAACTTTTTGAGGAACTGTCATTCTGTTTTCTATAGCAGCTGCACCATTATGACACTCTTGGTAGTACAGGAATTTGCAAGAGGTGAGCCTGGAGAAGATATGAATATTATTCTGTGATTTTTCCAAGAACTTGCCGATGCTGGGGGTACTACTATGTTTCTGCCTTAGGTTCCCCGTCTGCAGAAGGAAGATGGCAGTCACTCTTCCTCTCCAGAAAACTGGGGACTACAGGAAGTATTGTTGAGATAGGCTGGGGGAAGACATTTAGTTTAAAATACTCTGAGTTCCCAGGGCCAGAGCCGGGCCCTCCCTTTTTCTGATGCACAGGTCAGGGTTGGAGATGGCCAAAAGCCACATTTGGATGGCTAAGTTCTGACATCTGCACTGCTTATCACATGTGGATATCAAGGACCATCTCTGAGGTGATGCTCCTTGTATAAGAGGCCATCGTCAGCCAGCAGACAACTGAGCCTGCATTTCTGACTATTGTTTAAGCTTGCCATCTTCCTCTTCCTTTGATGTGTATACAGTTGCCCCTCAGTGTCCATAGGGGATTGGTTCCAGGACCCCTGGGAATACCAAAACCTGTGGATACTCCCTTATATAAAAAGCACGGTATTTGCACATAAACTACACACATCCTCCTGCATACTTTAAGTCATCTCTACATTTCTTATAATGCCCAGTACAATGTAAATAGTTGTAGATGCTATGTAAATAGTTGCTGACATGCAGCAAATTCAACTTTTGCTTTTTGGAACTTTCTGAATTTTTTGTCTGTGTGTGTGTGAATATTTTGGATCTGCAGTTGGTTGAACCTGAGGATGCAGAACCCGCAGATATGGAGGGGCTGGCTGTGCAGTTCTAGAGAAAAGAGTATTCACCGAGTGTCCATCAGAATCCAATCAAGGTTTTACTAAGAATGTGATCATTTCCCTCAGTTTCTCCCTCCTGTTCCCCCATCAGTTCTCATTCAGGATGTCTGAAGCTTTGCCAGTTTCTGAACACACTTTTACTCTGATCCACATCAGGCCTGACAAAGTAGGGAGGTTCATACCCACCTCTCGTGCAGGAATACAAGCAGCGTTGGCTTGCTGTCCTTTGGAACGCTGCCCGAGGCCGGACCTTGCCCCTGGCTCTCAGGACGGGCTAGCCTTTCAGGCAGCTCCTGCCAGAGTTGCTCAGGTGTCCTCTGAAGCTGGGCTGTGGGGAAGCCAAGGTGCTGATGCTTGGCTGGAACTCCATGCAGAGCTTTGATTACAGCTCCCGGAGTGGTCCCTTCCAAGAAGCTCTGCTGTATTTTCAGCCCCGCTGCCAGCAGCAGTGAGGCAGACGCTTGACCACTCAGGATCAGAAACACCAGCAAAGACTCCTCAGTGCTGACTTAGATGGTGCCTAAGAAACAAGATCATACCAAATCTGTCAGCAAAGATGCAATCTTTGTTTGCAAAGCATCAGTTGGCAAATCAGTCCCTAATGGCCGGTAGAGGAGGGCCCCTGGTCGTTGGAGCAATGGCCGGGCTGCAGAAGCAAGTCTCACATGGGGGACCCCCACCCCAGACTCCTGGCCAGACCGGGCCTTGTAGAGATCACTTGCCCTCCCAGCAGCAGGGATCTGTCTTCCATGCTCACTCTTGCTTCCTCCGCTCCTGGAATAGTGCGGGGCAGAGGAGGCATTCTGTCAGTATCTGTGGAGTGAGTGAATCCACAGCGGACACAGGGCCTGAGCTGGAGAATGGGCTGTCCTCGTGTTCTAGGACAGGTGCTGGTGGGCAAGTGAAGGCTGTGGTTCTCTGTGGTTCTCTGTAGTTCTACTCAGAGAAGGACTTGGTCTGGAGATAACCAAGGTCACTGTCCCTCCCCTACCTTTCTCCTGTAGTTGTCGTCACCGAAGACTACCCTTAGAAACAAGAGAAAGCAAAATGTTGCAGGGCTTCTTCAGAATAGGGTTGTGGGGGTAGGACAGCATTAAAATGGGCATGATAAGGACCTCACCTCCTGGGTGTGGGAGGGGCCCTCTGGAGGCAAATCTGCATATATTTGCATACACAAACCTACCACCTAACCTGCAAAGGATGCCAGACTCTTCCCTCCTATAAAAAGACCAATCCTTCTGCTCTCTCCTTTGCAGGATGTGCTGAATCAAAATTTAACTGCTAAGATTCTAGAAATCTTTGGGAAAAAACATGAAATGAACATGTCATTTAAATTTTAAATTTTCAAATGTCATTTTTAGTTTCCATTTTTTATAAGGAGAGAAGAGCATATTTTGAAGACTTTCCAGGAAGGGAGGAAGGGAGATAGTCAATCCAGACTCTTCAGTTGAGAAGGGGTTTGGGTCTCGTTTTTCCTGCTTTATTTGTGTGCTGCGCAGTCCTCTCGCCCTATCCCAGCAGGAGGCCTCAGGTGGCTTGGAGAAATTGGGTGTCTTAGTTCTCTAGGATCGTCATGCATTTTCCACAGGGAAGATGGACTCTCACTTTGGAAAACATAAAACCGGGTTTGTTCTGTGTTCCTTAGAAAACGGCTCCCTGCGCCGCGGCGGAGCGAGGCTGGGCGCCGGGAGCCAGGAGCCGAGCGCGGCCGCGTGTTGTGTAACCCGCCCGGGGAATCACGTTGCCCTGATGAGTTCCCCAGGCTCTTCGTGCAATAATAAGCTTGATCTTTCTATTCAGCTACAAGGACAGACCGCAGCCGGCTCCAAGTCACGTGCCCCGGTCACGTGGTGCGGAGAGACAGAAACCGGCTGGCAATCATTAACTAATGGTTACTCCTGGGGAGAAAATGAAGGTTTTAAAGACACGAACTCTCTTTTTGTAAAACAACCGGGACTGCAATAGAAGGTATACAGGGTGGGTGGGGCGGCTTCCTCTTGCTCAAGTGCTTTCCAAGGAAAGGAAAAGAGCCCACAAGTTCTCCCTGGTTTTGCTCTGCTTCCAGGACTTTGCAAACTCGCCCAGCGTAGCTCCTTTCTCCAAACCGGGAGGCGCGGCGGCTGCAGCTGCCCGGCCCCGAGCAGAGGGACGTGCAGGCGGACTGGGTTCTGGGTCCCGCGCTCCAGAGATGGAGGACAGCATTCTGAAAGGAGCAGAAAGCCCCATTTTTCTTCCTTGTGAAATTCAGGCTTCTGGGTAGATGGAGTTCTGGGAGGGGGGAGGGGTGGCGAAAGGCACGGAGACTTTGCGGGCTCTTCTGAAGTTTTTATCAACATGAAAACCCGCATCCAGAATGTGGCTCCTTTAAATCTTACTGCGGTGAGAACAGAAACTGCAAGGACTCTGCCTACCTGAGTGTTTCCTGATTCAGTCGTTTGAATTTAGAAAGAGGTTCTTTCACTTTCTGGAACTTGTGTAGTGTTACTTTGTGCTTTCAAAAACTGTAATTGTCAAGCTGGGTTTGTTTGATTTTAGTGTAGAAGCAACAATAGGGGGAGTGAATAGAGTTTAGAATCTTGGCTGGAGAGAAAGGATAGCTAAATCCAGATGAAAGGTCCAGGCAGAAACTGACAACACTTTTTTTTTTTAACCTACATGTGTTTTATTTCACAGTATACATAGAGGACTTTCCAAAACACTGTGCAATATGGACTTAGCCTTAGAAGAAAATCCACTGACGTAGTCTGGAGCCTTATATTCTTATTTCACTTAACTCTTTCCAGAAGGAACAGATACACAAAGTTTCCAATTTTCTATTCACTGAATCACGGAAATATAATTATTTCAGGACATTTAGTAGTTAGGGAGTTTAGTGGTCTCCCTCTTTACCTTTACCCCACTCTGCTCTCTTCAGAAAGATACAAGCATGTGACCTAAAGGGGAGGATCCAGGTTTTGTAGGACCTGAAACTTTTACAATTTGGGAGGCCTTTTTAAAGCGAGTAGAAAGTTATAGAGAAAATTAGATATTAAAATATCACAAAATTCACTTCTAAAATCCTTTTAGCCTGCATTTTGGGGTGCATTTTCTTTGATGGTCTCGTATTCTTGAAAGGAGAGAACTGTCTTTTTGACCACATAGTCAGTTTTAAGTGTGCCTACAATTGTGTGAGTTTGATGGTGAAGCACTTTCTTCCAGACTAGCTTCTGGCTAGTCTCTTCTGGGTTGATTTCACATCTCGTTTCTCCTCCCCGCCCACAATACTTCTGGTGCCAGACCCTGCAGGACACACTCATCCTGTGACGTGACCTCTGGATCAGAGCCTTCTCATCTCTGTGCTGGCGGAGTCGGCACAGTGGGCCCTGGGAATATTCCTGGAAACCTTCCCTACTCCAGAACAACCTTCAGTAACAACTATGAACATAGTTTGTAATTTATAAATTTATCTTAATCCAAGGTAAAGGTATCTTTAGCTGAGATTTCTCTTAGCCAGACCCAGACTGCCCATGACCACTCCAAAATCACCCAAAAGGAGAAGAAATGTGGCCAGAGAGAAGTCAGAGTAGAAGGAGGCAGCGATCTTAAGCAATTAAGGTCATAGCATCTTACCAGTGGCAAGTTTACAAAAGTAAATGACCATGACTGTGTGGCTTGGGCCCCTGTCGGGGCCTCCACTGGGGCCTAGAAGTGAGAGGCTGAAGTTCCAAGTTCATTATCTTCATGCTAAATCTACTTCTGGGGACCCCAGGTGCATAGTAAGTATATCTCAAGGAGGCATTTTTGGGGTCCTAGAATCGAAAATACTTGTTTGAGGCAAGCTTGCTTATCTGGACGTCTTGCATGGAATGATTTGTTAAGGTAAATTCCATTTAATAAAAAGCCTCTGTTGGGCTCTGACTCAGCCCCTCGCACGGTCCCTTCTCCAGCCACACTCTCCTGCACGCTGCCAGTGCAGAGGCGGTGGGGAGGGCCGGGCGCCGCCCTTCTGCCTCCGCTGCTCTGTGCCCAGCACCACCATGTGCTCTGGTCCACACGTCCCCTTCACTCCTTAGGATGAGGTGGCTGGTAATGATTCTGACTTGCAGTTGAGAGACCCTGGAGGCTCAGAGAGCTTGTTTCCTGGCTGCAGTCACATGGTGAGAGCACGTCAAGGCTGGAACTGAAAACCAGGTCTGTCTGACTCCCCAGGCTGGTTCCTTCCTGGCAGAACCCTGACCTTCAGCTTCTCAAGAAGTGACTGTAACACGTCTTGTTTTAGCATGGGACCGAGCACGTTTGCAGCGGTGTCTGGTTATAGCCTCCATCTGTTCTTGCAGAGCGCGATCTCCGGCCCTGCTAAAACAATTAGGGAGGACTCCTGACCAGCCTGAAAGCCCCCTCCCTTCCTCTGACAGTCATGTTCTTTCCTGGCCTTGCCTGCCAGGGGCCCTGCAACCCAGTCACTGCTACACTTCTCTCTCCCGTGTGTTCCCTCCGAGATCCACCACCGCACAGCAGAAAGTCGCCCGGTTGAATCGTTTGCTTAGCTTGTCAGGACGGAATTTTGAGTTTGGAAAGACTTGCCAACATGCTGTTTATGGGGGAAAGGAAGCTGTCGGGTCAGACAAGCTGTATATGCACTAATTAGCTGGACGGAAGGAGCCCAGGTGTGAGGGGCAGCCCCTCCCGCCCCCCGCCAGCCCATCTGACTGTGTCCCTTCCTCCCACCCAGCTGGGACAAGGGCTCATGAGCATTGCTGCTCCTTTAGCTTGGGCTTCTCAACCTCAGCACCATTGTCATTTTGTGCTGGATCGTAACAATCAAAAATATCTCCCGTCATTGCCAAATACCCGCTGGGGGCAGCACCACCCTGGTGGGGAGCCGCCTCCTGAGCCCTGTCAGCAGAAGGCACCGTCGACGTCCAGCTGTGGGGGCTCTCAGGGCGTGGAGTCAGGTCATACAGGGAGGTGCCCCCCAAGGGGACGGTTCTGAAGTCAACACCGGGTTCATGGGACCAGCCCTCTTGGACTAGAGTGTTGTGAGGAAAAGGTCGTACACTCATTTCTCCACAGTCAGGGTTAACCTGAGGCTGAGGGGATTACCTGTAAAGTTTAGCTTGATGGTTAAGAGTTCCGCAGTCAGAGGCCCAGGTTTGAATCCCAGAGTTGCCCCTCATTAGCCACGTGACTTTGGACAAGTTCCTTTACCTATCGGTGCCTCAGTTCGGTAATATGGGAATGTAAGATGTCTGTAATATGGGAATGACAACGTCTGTGTTGTGGAATTGTTCTCAGACTTCAGTGAGCTAATGCGTGTGCTTGACACAGAATGAACGCCTTAACAGTGTAACCCTTTTGAAAATTTCTAAGCCAACCTTTGACTATTTTTCATATTACATAGATAAGTAGATTTCTGCCCAAGCATGCCACATAGTTGTGTCTGTCTCCTACTCTGTTGATTCTGGAAGTAGTGTACCAAGCTTCAGCTTCAGAATCTCCCCCTTTCTCTCCTTGGGTGGTGCCGACGCCCTCTCCGTGGTTACAGCAAAGCTGTGCTCTCCTGCGAAAGCGCTGCTCACCGCCCTGACCACGTCAGGGCCTTGGCCACAAGCACTGTGGCCTGCAGTGCGCGTGCCCTGCTTGTGCGGGGCCTGAGGAATTTTACAAATATTTTTGGACATAGCGTGGACATGTTATATCCATGAGGGGTTTACTAATATGAATTACAAACGAGATAATTTTTTAAAAATGGAAAACAGTGATCAAATCATGAAGGTTGTTATGGACCAAGTCATTCAACATTAAGAAAGGTTCTAAAGGACAAGAGTAATTGTGCAATGTGTCAACAGTCACAATCATCAGTCAACATCGTTGACAGGAGATTGGACACGTGACAGACAAAAGGATCTGAGGGGTCCTGGCTTGGAGGATGCACACCCGCCGTCCCCCAGCCTGGGTCAGGAGCATGCCAGGAGTTCGTTTGAAGACTTGGAGGCTAGAGTGATGAAACGTTGGCCCCAGGCCATGGCCATTTCCTCTGTACAAGGCCCTGTTGAATTTGCCTGACTTGAAAGTGCAGTGGGGCGGTGGCTATGAAACTGCTGAGGAGACTCTTACAGTACTTGCAGATAGTATCTCTGTCGATGCACTTCTGCTGTAGAAGACACTGATTCGCTAGGGGAGCAAGATGCCCAAGAGAGGACGTACGGCAGCGGAGAGGAGGAGCAGAGGCTTGGTTCTGAAACACCCCTCCTCGGTGGAGGTCGGTCTGAGGGCTGCACACAGGCAGCTGGAAGGACACACAGCGCTCTTCAGACGGCTTTCAGGGCTTAACTGGCCTCTGCGTACGTGGAGGTGCTTCTGAACATGAATAGTCTTGCTACCGCCCAGCAGCAGCTTAGTTATTTCCCCACAAGTGTGACATGTGAGCTCAGATTTGTAAACATGGAGATTGTTTTCAAAATCCCAAGGGCATCAGCAGGTGGGCCAGATCCAGCCTACACTGTACCCTCTGTAATCTTTTGGCCACGGTGAAAGGGTGGCCTCCTTAGAGGTGGTGCTCCACTGAGCCGGAGCCCAAAGCAGCTTACAAGAGCCACAGGAAGGCAGCTCCATCCCAGAGGTCGCTTGCTTCCCTTTCCTCTTCCTTTTTCTAGTCCAGCAAAGTCCAAGTCCAAACCTATTGGCTGATGTAGAAAAATGGGCAAGAGGCTCAGCCTGGCCGCTGGCCTGGGCACTGGCTGAGACCGTCCGTTAGGACTGAGCTCTGCTGTGGTTTGAGTCCACATCCTTACCCGACAGACCCTGGCAGTGAGCTGTGGCAGGTCAGCTTAGGATGTAAGATGACATTTTAATGTTGTATGAACTTAAAAAAACCCTTTATTTTGCAGTAATTTTAGTCTTACAGAAAAGTGAAAATAGTACAGCGGATTTTCATACACCTCTCATCTGGCGTCCCCTAATGCTCACATCTGACAGAATCGAAGTCCAGTTGTCAAAACCAAGATGGGGACTTGGGTGTAACACTGTTAACTAGATGGCAGGTTTATTTGGAGTTCATCTGTTTTTCCACTGATGTCCTTCCTCTGTCCCAGGATCCAGTCCAGGAGCCGACATTACATTTACATGTTATTTCTGCTCAGTTTCTCCCAATCTGTGACAATTCCTCAGTCTTTACCTGTTTATGTTCACAATTTTGTCACTATTTAAAAATACCAATTCATTACTTTGTAGAATGTCCCTCCATTTGGGTTGGTCTGTCTGTTGGTTTCTCATGATGAATTTTTAGCAAGGGGATGACAGAGGGGATGTGCCCTTCTCGTGTACCACGTCAGGCTTCGTGATGCTGATAATCCTTGTTCCTGGTGGTCTACCTTCCTCACTTGCCTAAGAGACTGGCTAAAGTTACTATTTTTCCTTTTTTGGTTAATAAACATCTTGTGGGGAAGATACTGCAAATATCCTGTTTCTCCTCAAGCTTCTGCCCACTAATTGCAGCATCCTTGGTGAACCTTCCCTGCAGTGATTATTACTGTGGCGTTCTCATGGTGATTTTGTGTTCTCCTCATTTCTTCTACATTTGTTAACTGGGATTCTTCTGTAAGGAAGAGCTGCCTCGTCTCCCCCTGTGTACGTTCCTATGTGTGTATGTAAATGTGTGTGTATGTACATTGGTGTGGACTCATGGGTATTTATTGTATCCTATGGGCTCTAATCTAACTATATTGTCATTTATATTGTACCTCAAATTGTTCCAGCATTGGCCATTGGGCACACTTTCAGGTTCTTTCCTGTGTTCTTTCAATCCTGTGCCTCTGTCCTTTTTTGAACACTTTCTTATTTTCTGACCCCACAGGATACTCAGGCTCATCTTATGTTTTCCCTTTCCCAGCTGTGTCAACCACTTCTCTAAGGACCCTTTGTTCCCTTTAATGGGTCATAGCATTTGGAGACTGACATACAGGCGCTAGGTGTGCTCACTGTTACTGGGGTGTCTTCTCTGGGGACAGGGCTAGGAAATGTTTGTCTGATAACCCATGCACATACCCGTATTTATTTATTTCTTTATCTATCAGTCTGTGTACCTGCTTAAAGAACACAAGTTCTTGCTGATACTTCTGATTCTATCCCAACACCACAGGGTTCATTCTAAACTTCCCCTTTCCCTATTTGTAACTTCTTTCTCTGACAGTGAGAAACCTGGCTCTCATGATATACACT